TGATGAGGGTAGGTGAAATCACTGTTCATTTTCGCCTATAGGCGTTTTGTAGTATCTTCCTATATATATATATATATATATATATGTGCTATGTGCTTTGAAGTGCATCACATAGGGGCGGATATGTGCTTTGGTGGGATGCGCCCGCATATGTACCGCATCCCGCTCCATATGCGCCGCATAGCTAGTGGGCGAAAATAGTGCACATGAGCATTTTTGGCATTTTCTCCCTTGTAAAGGGGGGATAGGCTTTTGGGGGGTAGTAATACCCTCAACATAGAAAACAGCCACAAATACAGCTGTTTTAGATCAAACAAAGAGGGGGGGAAAATGGTAGAAATTTTTTTGAAAAAAAATTGTCGATCTGCTCTATTGGGCGAAAATAGTGCCACGATCATGGATATTTTTGTCCCTTCCCCCCCTAAAAAGGGAGGGACAGAATTTTGGCGGGTCTTAAACCCCTCAAACACAAAAAACAGCCACAAATATTGTAGTTTTTAGATCAAATGAAGAGGGAAAAGAAACTGGTAGAAATGTTTTTTGAAACAATTTGCTGATTTGCTCTAGGTGTTGGTTGGGTTGTCAATTGAGAATAGCTTGGGCATTGCTTTGAAGAAGTTTGATAATATGATGTCTTGTAAGTTCTACTGTTTTCTATAAAGTTTGTTTCAAGTTTCGACTTTCTATTTTTAATTTCTTCTATACGGGAATTCAGAGTCTTCAATAGTTGATAATATTGGAGTTAATGAATGTACTAGATACCTACTGTCACATAAATCACCTCCATATTCTTTCCATGCATTAACCTATTTTTTGGTATTTTTTGAAAGAATTTTATATTTATTGACTGAATCGGGGTGATGCACCCTCATTTGGACCGCATCAAGCTGCTTCGCCACATCAGCCCCCCAACCGCATCGAGACAGCATCACACATTTAAAAACATTGGTACAAGGTGGTCACAATAAATCTTGACCATTGGCTGTGAAATTAGATGGCAGCATTTATTTTATTTGCCAAACTCAAAGTTCAAAGAAATTTTCTCGAACTTTGTAACACACATATGATATCAGATTTCACATCAGATGGTTGTAAGTAATTTTGACCTCTTTATATCAAAGGTAATGGTCTCATTGCATACAACCTATATATATATATATATATATATATATATATATATAGTAGTAGTAGTAGTAGACGACGACTACAGTAGTACGTTAGTAGTAGTAGGTAGTAGGTAGGGTAACGTAAAACGTAAAAACAAACTAATACTA